TATATAAGATCAAGTACAAACCCACAGAGGAATTAGAGAGATATAAAGCGTGTTTGGTCGCGAAGGGCTTCACACAAATGGAAGGGGTTGACTTCCATGAGACTTTCGCACCTGCTGCAAAACTAGTAACGATGTGGAGTTTGTTGGTTGTGGCAGTTAAAAAAATTTGGTCCATACATAAGTTAGATGTAAACAATGCGTTTCTACATAGGGACTTGAACGAGAAAGTATATATGAAAATTCCTCAAGGTTTTGCCAAGGACGAAGATTCAAAGGTTTGTCGTCTTCGCTAGTCTCTCTATGGCGTTCTACAAGCCTCACGAAACTGGTACCAAAAGTTCACTGGTGCTTTACTGAGCCTTGGTTTCAGACAATCAAAAGCTGACCACTCAGTTTTTATTTACTGGAAGGGTGCGATATATGTTGCAGCCCTCATATACGTCAACGACGTCATCATTTTTGGAAATAATGACACCAAATTTCAAGATGTTAAATCTCATCTTGATGACCGTTTCAGTATTAAAGACTTGGGTCCTCTAAAGTATTTCTTGGGTATTGAAGTATTTCGTATGACAGATGGTCTTATTCTTAGTCAACGAAAATACACTCTTGACATTCTCATAGATAGTGGGCAGCAGGGATGTCGTCCTAGTACCTTTCCCATGGATCAAAACCTACAACTCGATTAATCGATAGACAGTCCATCGGTTGACGTTGCTCAATATCGACGACTTGTTGGAAGGCTATTATACTTGCAAGTCACGTGGCTAGACATTGCTTTATGCCATGGACATGCTGATAAGTGTTATTTCATTAACCTTATTATATCATTTTCTTAACCATTTTCCTTTGTTTTATTTGCCCATTAGTGTCTTAATTGAGTCTTTTATGTCTTTTTCACATATTAGTAGTTATATAGTATATCTAATGTTAATTCCCTGTTTTTACAGGTTTTTGATGATTTTTGAGCTCAGTCCTACGGCAGTCCTACAGGACCAGGAGTGGCATAGTCCTATAGTACCTGTCCGAGAGCTAAAAATTTGCTTGGGCCGTGGAGAAATGGGCTGATCCATAGAGGAGGCGTGGTCAACGACCTTGGGCCCGGTCAAAGCCCAGTTTTGAAGAAGCTTTTGTCTTATTAGTTGGCACCCACTATGAGATCTTCCTTAGCCTATATAAAGAAGGCTTAAGGCTTGTTTTAAAACACTTTTTCATACTTTCTACCATTTGACACTTGTGATATTAGTGATAATTGCTCTCTAGAATATTGCTTTCGGTTCTAAGCTTTCGGTTTAAGTTGTTTGACTTTTCAAGAACAAACTTTTGTAGTTGTACTTTCATTCTCAAATTTTAATTCAAGTATTCGTGTTTAATCTTCATCTCATTTCTGTTATAAGTTACGTTACACTTTCTTATCTTTTACGAGTTACGAATTAATCGATCGTTGTTGCTTTACATCGAATCTCATCCGTTGTGGCTCACGGTTAATTTACGTAGACTAAATAATCTATTTTTACGAGTTTGCAAGTAATCTTTCGGTCTTTATAACGAAACTTGTTTTGCAAATTTCATTACTTAGTTTGCAAGTTTTCTTCAAAAGTCAACTCCGTTTTCCAAGGTTTTCTTATGTCACCTCCTCATCCCATCAAAGAACCATATGTCATCCCATCATGTACTTTATTTCATTATTATGATTAGATTAATATTAATTAATATTATTTAGTTATTAATAATTTATATTTCAGTATTTATATTTCAGTCTTTATATTTCAGTCTTTATATTTCAGTCTTTATATTTCTATATTTATATTTCAGTCTTTATATTTCAGTCATTTATATTTTAGTCATTTATATTTCAGTCATTTATATTTCAGTCCTTTACATTTCAGTCTTTACTTTACTGCAATTTACATTTCTGTCATTTAATTTTCAGTACTTTACTTTCAGTCATTTACATTTTTTGTCATTTAATTTCCAGTATTTCCATTTCCTGTAATTTACTTTCTGTAATTTATTTTCTGCAATTTACTTTACCGTCTCAGTTATTTATTTTTTAGTCCTTACATCATTCGAGAGAAGAAACCGAGCAATGATGGGCTAACACCTTAGCTTGGGGTGTAACGAGAAATTAAGACCAAAGCCGATGTGAAAGTACAAATGTGTCTTATTAGCATTATAATCTACTATTTATTTCAGGTGCTTAATATTTCATTTGATGATTACATTAAAATTAATTGACAACTAATTTTGTGTATAAAAATGTATTGATTTTCAAAACCTGAGGTAATAGGAGAAGGCTATAAATAGCTTTAGTGTCTGACAAACGCTATACTCCTACGGTGTAGGATGGTAACACTGTGTTGTGCTAGGATTCACGACGTCTAACATAAATGATATCGTATCGATAGCACGTTGACCGGTGTGTGCTCTTGGGAGGCCGTCTGACCCGATAGTTGATACTGTTATAGTTATATAAAATCATTTATTGATTTTAGATAATTGTTACAGGAATGCTATGTCATCTTTTTGATGAATCATTTGTTTAATGGCTTAATCAACTGTTGCACTATGTGCTTCTTCTTAAGACTGATATTTTCTTAGTTGTTAATCAAACCTCCCCATTTTAGATAAATCAAATCCCTTGATTCGCCATCTGAAACTAGTTTTTATAGACTGGACTTTTGAAGAACTTTACAAGCTATCTCTGTGGGAACGATATCTGGTACTTATACCATTATTACTTGTTACGAGACGACAGTAGTTCAAGTTGTATACTTGTGTCGAGTTCTATTTTTGTGTTGAAATCTAAGGTTGAATAAACCGACGAGTAGTAGGCCAAGACAGGACAGGACGGGATGGGACATGACTGGACATAAATGAGTATGTCTGGTGTTTGGTACGACTAGGACTGGAAGGGAAAGAACTAGACAAACTATTTAATGATTTTAAATATTATATAATAGTTATAATTAACACAAATAAAATAAATAATTAAAGAATTTAATTTATAAATATTTGTACATAGTTTTCATATTTGTACCAAATTTGAAAGAAAAATTTGATATAATTGATGGTAGTAGTGGTGGTGGTGGAGGTGGTTTTGGTTATGGTGGTCGACGGTAATAGTGGCAATGGGCGGTGGTGCTCGGTTGCTGACAGTGGTTATGGAGGTAGAGGCAGTGGTGTTTGGTGGACGATGGTGGTTATAAAGGACATGAAGATGGTAGACTGTGGTGGTGGTGGGTGGTGGCGGTTGACAACGGTGGAGGAGGTAGTTATGGTTGATGTAGTGAAGATAGTGATGGTGGTGGTTATGGTGGAAGTGAGGTGGCAATGAATGGTGGTGGCCGATGGTGGTTGTGGAAAAGGTTGTTGTAGTAGAGTAGGAGTTGAAAGTGGCGAACGACGGTAGTTGTGGGGGTAATGGACGGTGGTGGTTGGTGGTGGCAATGGACGGTGGTGGTTGGTGGTCGACTATGGTAGAGGTGGCAATGGACTTGGTGGACGGTGGTTGTGGAGGTGGTGGAGGATGTTGTTGTAGTGGAAGAGGAGGTGGAGGTGGCCGCCGATGACCGCGGGTAGTAGCAGCGGCGACGAAACTAGTGATGATGACCATTAAAACAAATATCATATTAAAGTTATATGTCAAACTAGGATAGATTTGTAATATTTTAGTTTCTATCCCATCTTGTTCCACCTATTTTGGTGGAACAAGAAAAACCCTCTTTTGTCCCATGCTGTCCCACCTTGCCACAGTTCTTGTTCCTGTCTCATGTCGCGCCAAACGTGGGACAGTGGGTTCTTGTTCTATCCCATGTTGTGCCAAACATGGGACAGTGAGTTTTGTTTCGTCCTGTCCTGTCCCGTCCCATGTATCAAATGCAGCCTAATGGAACAATATAATGAAATCCTTCGCATTTTGGGTCAATTCATACCGCACAAAATGAATATGGATGACTATTACTGTTCGAGTGTGATTGACAAGCTTCCATCGTCTTGGAAAGATTTCAAGCACAACTTGAAACATCAAAAGGAGGAACTGTCGCTGGTTCAACTTGGTAGCCACTTGCACAAGAAAATGGTAAGGACAAGAAAGTTGAATCGGGACAGCCCATCGGTTAACAAAAGTGATAACAAAAATGAAAAACCTTAAGATGAGATAACATGACACAATGAGAATAAAAAATTTACCAAATGGTGAATTATGATGAATTCTTGATTGTCCTATATTGATATAAATATGATAGTTTGGAAGAAGATGATGGATGTATAAAAACGTGATGGAGCTTTGAAATCTATAACCATGATTGAAATCAAAACCAACCATTTAGTAAAAATATTTGTGCAAAACAAATGCAAATGATATATATTTTTTCTTAACAAGAGTTGTGATTACTGCAGTACTTATAGTAACAAATGTAGTTTAAATGTCTACTATATCACTTAGATATACATAGAATGAAAGTGTTGACTTAATGATGTACTTCTATATGATGTTAGTATTCTCTAAACGTGATTTACGGTGTTGGACCGGGCGTTATAAATATAAATACGATCTCGAGTTTTCAGACACATTGCACTTCCGCTCAGGTCGAAACTTATACATTTTTTCTTAAATTGAGTTTTGATCACGACGCAACGCACTAATTAGATTTAAAATGAGGTGTCTAGTTATATTTAATACCAAATCTGGCGAACTTATACTTGTTTTTGAAAGATGGACCATATCCAAATTCTAAGCAAACGATGGGGAGTAGGATGCAATTTAATCTTAAAAGTTAGATTTAATACCAAATTTGGCGAACTTATATACAGAAAAAGGAAAATACGTCAGAAGTTTCCAACAAGTCAAATGGTTCTAAAAACAAACGCGCAATCACTATTTGAATTATTCATCAAAAAGAAAAATAATGATGATGGATATAAAAAAATAATTCAAAAAATAATAATAAATATTATGCTTTATGATGATCTTCAGGAAAAAATAAATACGCAGGTCGTTTCCCATCGTCTGCTACAAAAATTCAACCATCTCCTCCTCCACCCTCCATCAATCTCTTCATTCAAATCATCACCTGCTACAGTTTTTTCCTTCTCATTCTTTTCTGCTGTTTCTCAAATTTCATTGCTTTCTTTTTCTCTCCCAATTTCTTGATTGATCCCCCTTCAATCTTTTCATTCAGTTTTCTGGGGTTTTGTTTCTTTCATTCCATTACCCCCCCCTTTTTCTGAATCTGGAGAATCTCCGATACCCTTTTCCAGTTTTTTTCTTGTATAAATTATACCCCTTTTCGGGTCAAGATTTTTCTTGTAGGAGGTTGACCGACTTCGCTGATTTCTACTACAATGTGCCCTTTTTCGCCTACGTAAATCCACGTTTCTGGCTTCTATCAATTCAACTTTTCTTCACATTTACATTATTCTGTGGTTTGAATTTGGCTGATTGGATATGAAGTTATTAGTACGTGTGATTGAAGCCAAAAATATACCTGCCATGGATCCAAATGGGTCCAGTGATCCATATGTTAAGTTAAAAGTAGGCCATCAAAGATGCAAGACTAAAGTGGTAAAAAAGTGCCTGAACCCTTCTTGGTGCGAGGAGTTTAGTTTCAAGGTGGAAGACTTAAAGGAACAGCTTGTTGTTTCTGTCTTGAATGATGACAAGTACTTCAATGATGATTTTATTGGAAGTGTTAAAATTCCTATTTCTCGGGTTTTTGATACGCCTGACAAGTCCCTAGGTACTGTTTGGTACCCTTTGCAACCCAAGAAGAAATCCAAGATTAAGGATTGTGGTAATCTTACTCTCACTTTTACCTTTGGCATCCGAGTGCTTGTTGGATCTATCATCATTATCTAGACTTTGATGGCATTTGAAAGAGGTCTTAGTTTTAGTCAAGTTTATTGCCTTTCCTGCTTTGTGTGTTTGTACCTAAAAGTTGGTTTCTTTTTGTACTACCATGTAATATACCGAGTCATTATCTGGGTTTTTGACATCTATGATTGAATTTCAGTTGCTTATATCATAGAATTCAGCTTCTTTAAAGTTTCCCATCTACCTGTTGTTAATGGGATTGATTTAAACAAACTGCTTTTCTGCTTGCTTGGAGAGGCAAGGTTGTTGGGATTGAATCACTCCTGAACCCACATTGGGAATTGAGAATTATAATTGAAACAATCACGTCTAGTTATCCTTGTACATCTAACATACATGTAATGGTTCGAGTTTTGATTGTCCCTCCTCAATTTTGCGTCTGTCTCATACCAGGTGAAGTTCTTATCACAATATGCTTCTCGCAAAATAAGCCTCAATCGGACTTGCAACCTCAAGTCGAGAATGGAACAATATCACCTGCGAGGTCTTCCACTAGTTCAAGAATGCCATCTCCAATGAGGTCAGAGGAAGCTGCTCCTATCAAGGAGGAGAAGTCAAACAAAGAAAAAATTTCAAGTCTACTTTCTCAGATTTTTAACAGAAACAGCGATTCAGTACAGCCAGCAGCCAGCAATAAAATCACAGATTTACCTGAGTTACCTGAAACTGATGATTCTGAGGTATCTGAGGACAAAGTTGAAGAGCAGTCCTCATCTGCTAATTTTGAAGAACTTATGAAAAGCATGGAGGAGAAAGATCAATCCAGCGAAATGCCTGGTAATTTGCCTGGAGGGATAATGCTAGATCAGATGTATGTGATTGCACCATCTGAACTCAACTCTTTGCTCTTTTCATCTGATTCAAACCATCTGAGACAGGTGGCAGAGATTCAGGGAAGTACAGATCTGCAAGTTGGACCTTGGAAATTTGATCCTGAAAGTGGGAGTCTAAAAAGGGTGGTTACCTATGTTAAAGCAGCATCTAGGCTGATTAAGGCTATAAAAGCAATAGAAGATCAAACATATCTAAAAGCTGATGGGAAATGTTACGCAGTGTTAGCAAGTGTGAACACTCCGGAAGCTCCATATGCAAGCAATTATAGGGTCGAAGTTCTCATGTGCATCTCTCCAGGGCCTGAGTTGCCATCAGGAGAACAATCTTCCCATTTGGTAGTATCATGGCGAATGAATTTCTTGCACAATACCATGATGAAGGGTATGATAGAAGGGGGTGCCCGCCAAGGTGTGAAGGAGAGCTTTGAGCAAGTTGCGACTTTATTAGCTGAAAAGTTGAAGGTCCTTGATATGAAGGACGTTGGCTCTGAAAAGGAACAGGCTTTGGCATCTCTACAGGTTGAGAAACAGTCAGACTGGAGACTTGCTGTTCAATACTTTGCTAATTTTACGGTCATTTCCACCATACTTATGGGATTATATGTGCTTGTGCACCTCTGCCTAGCCATGCCTAGTACCATTCAGGGGCTTGAATTTGGTGGGTTAGACTTGCCAGATTCAATTGGGGAAGTTGTTGTGTGTGGAGTCTTGGTCCTCCAAGGTGAAAGAGTTATGCATTTGATATCACGCTTTATGCAAGCTAGAGTACAAAAAGGTAAATCATGCCTTTTAATAATTTACTGCTGTTAAATAGCTTCTTTTATTTATATATTTTGGATTGTTGATACCACAGAGTGCAGGGGGCAGGGGAAGAATTATTGTTGGGTGACTTCTCTTTCTTTTTTCCTTCCCCTTGATTATAATGGAGAGTAGCATGTATTTCTACAGTCCACTTAGAATTAGTTGGGCCATTTTTGTTCATCTTACTTGACGTTGCTTTTCCCTCTAATGATTGTAGGTGGTGATCATGGAATCAAAGCACAGGGGGATGGATGGTTGCTAACTGTCGCATTGGTTGAGGGAAGCAACTTACCATCTATTGACTTAAATGGCTTATCTGATCCATACGTGGTCTTCACATGCAATGGTAAAACGAGAACCAGCTCAATCAAGTTCCAAAAATCTGATCCTCGCTGGAATGGTGAGTGTTATTTCATCTTGTGGCAATCATGTTCTCTTTTTGACCATGAACTGAAGAGCAGAATGCTGGAATATGTATTTACTCATTTTTAGGTATACAGTTATGGAGATATACACCGGCAGCAGGCTGGCCAGTGTATATGTGATGTGTGAGAGAGAACAAATAGACGAGATTGCCAACAAGCAGGACTGCCTTGAGCAGCAGTTGCTGGCCTTCTACAACTTCTAATGCTATAATGTCTTGTAACTGAATCTTTTGTTAAATGCTGATGATTTGCAGAAATTTTTGAATTTGATGCTATGGATGACCCTCCTTCTACGCTGGATGTTGAAGTTTATGATTTTGATGGTCCTTTTGATGAAGCTGTCTCTTTGGGACGTACTCGAATTAATTTTGTAAAAACTAATATATCTGATTTAGGTGATGTGTGGGTTCCTCTTCAAGGGAAGTTAGCTCAAGCCTGCCAGTCTAAATTGCATTTAAGAATATTTTTGAATAACACGAGAGGTAGCAACATTATTAAAGAATATTTAACCAAGATGGAAAAGGAGGTGGGAAAGAAGGTAACAATCATCAGTTCCATTAGCTCCCAGTTGGCGACTTCATACTTCTTGTTTGGTTTGCTTACTTTTTGCAATTGACTTTTATCTAGATAAGATTACGGTCTCCTCAGACAAATTCGGCATTTCAGAAGCTCTTTAAGCTTCCACCTGAGGAATTCCTAATAAATGATTTTACTTGTCATTTGAAGCGCAAAATGCCCCTCCAGGTACACGCTCCATTTGAGGTTTCCCTTCTAGTATATATTACTTTGAGCCTCTCAGAGATCCCTTTGTTCTATTTGGTTCTTTTCTCCAACTAAAATGGAAATCGAATTGGGTACTTGGCAATCTACTGGTTGATATCTGGCATACTCTGTTTTAATTGGTTTTTCAATTTTTTTAAATCCTAAAGCTTGTTCCTTTGCAGGGTCGTCTGTTTCTGTCAGCGAGAATAATAGGGTTCCATGGAGACCTATTCGGACACAAAACTAACTTCTTTTTTCTATGGGAGGATATAGAAGATATTCAAGTGGTTCCTCCTACTTTGTCATCTATGGGTAGTCCAATTGTGGTTATAACGTTACATCCAGGCCGAGGCTTGGATGCAAAGCACGGTGCAAAGACGGAAGATGCAGAAGGCAGGCTCAAGTTCCATTTCCAGTCTTTTGTGTCTTTTAGTGTTGCACACAGGTAATTTCATACTTTTGACTTGCTTTCTTTATTGATAACACAACAAAGAAATACAAAACATGAACCTCGTAGTGAAACCAGGTACTAGGAGCAGATTCTTTCAAGTCTAACCATGTCTGGACAATGTTGTCCTATCTGTCTGCTCTTCATCCCTCCCCCCATCACAATAGCGACTAGTCCCTGTAAAATTCTGCTACCCTAGTCCTACACTTTAAAGTACTCTATAATAGGTCATGCCCTCGGAAAAGTCTAATCTCGCCATGTCCATCCCAACTGCTCATTCCACGTCCTCCTTTGCCCACCCCTCCTTGTCACCCTTCAACCATTACTCTCTCCTCCCTTATCACTGGAGTCATCATCCGTTTCCTCCCAACGGTCCAAACTACCAATAACCTTTCCTCTTTTAGTTTATCTGTGATGGGCGTAACCCCTAGCTCTGCATTATAAACCACATTTGGTATCCTATTCAACATGGTCCGACCATATGTCCATCTCAACATCCTCATTTCTTCAACTTCCAACTTCCAAATTCCTCTCATCCGCCTTCTTTATTGGCCAGCATTCAAACCCATACAACATGTCCAATTTGATGGCCACCCTATAGATTTTGCCATTCAGTCTTAACGAGACGTGCTTGTCACATAACCCTCTTGTGGCAACCATCCATTTTAACCATCCTCCCTTTATGTGGTGTGTAACTTTGTCTTCAATATATCCCTCCTTATGGATGATGGAGCCTAAATACACAAAACTATTAGTCTGGAACCCTTTGCTTCCCAATGTTGACTTTTACCGACTTGTTATTCTCCATGCTAAAGTTGCACCATACGTATTCCGTCTTTGAGCGGCTAATACATATGCCTTTTGTTTCCAATGTTGTGCTCTATTGCTCCAACCTAGCGTTCACTTGTCTTTTCGTCCATGCCACTAGCGCAAAGTCATCAGCAAGTAACATACACCATAAGACATTCCCTTGGGAAAACATAAAACCTAACTACCAACTCGCTAACCCTAACCTTGACCCTCTAACTCTCCAACTCTCCAACTCTCCAACTCCCTTCCTCTTGTCTAGATCTCCACACCTAGTTTGCTACCCTAGTTCTGCGTCTCCATGAACTTCTATCAGAAGCCATGTCCTTGGAAATGCCTAAAGCTGCCATGTCCAACCTTAGTTGCTCAGCCCATCTCCGTGGCCTACCCTTTATCCTCGTGCCCTTGACTCTCACTTTCTACGGAGCTGCCAACTGTCTCCTATGAATGTGACCAGACCACCACAATCTTGCCTCCATCAACTTATCAGTGATAGACTCGCCCAACTCCCAACAAAGTTGGTTCATTTTTCTCTCTCTCAACTGAGTAACAGATAATGATCGGGGGGCATCATGTTCATTTTTCTCCCTGTCAAAAGTTTTATTCATCATCATCAGCATATCGAATTGGCCAAGCATATAATCATCAAACTTTTCTCCATATTGGCCAATCAAAGAGTCATCTATGGAGAACGTATGTACTTTGTCTTTATTGCTGTGTCCGTACTAGGTCCATCTTTGAGAATAACCTGCATAAAATCACATCTCTATTGTAAGTTTTAGCTGAAACTTTGAAAGGCAAAGTAAGACAAAATAGACCAAATTCAATTGACCAAGTGAAACTAATTAAGTGACAAAGGAAGATTAGAAGTATAAATTTTAACGGCTTACAAGCTTTAATAGAAATTTTTATAATTTTAGCAGTTACCTAAGCCAAAAAAATTGAACAGTATTCTAACTGTTAAAAAGGGTAAATTTTAACAATTAAAACATAAAATTTAAAATTAATATTAACTAAAATAAAAACGGTTATGGTTCATTAGGGCCAAGTTGGCTGTTGATACTTCCAAAATGATGTTTCTTTATGCTGCCTTGCCCATCGCTTTGATATCCCACTTTTGTGCTTATTTCTCTCATTTCCTCTCTCTCCCTCGTTCTTGCTGTCAGTTCTTCAACCAACATAAAAACTTCAGTTCTACACATTGTGCAGCCAAAATCTGTAACTTATTTCTTTTATCTTTGACCATGAGTTGCATTAAGTTTCTCTCCTCTTTCTCTTTCTCTTTCTCTTGCTCTCTCTCATACATGCATGGCTCACTTGCCCCAAATTATTCATCTGCAACCATGCTAATTCTTACCTCTCTGTCTTCTCTCTTTCACCTAGGAATCAGAATACACACTAAGTTATTATCTTGCTTTCAATTCTTTCCCATGGTTCACCTTAACATCTATGGTTATAACCGATTACTAGTTTGATGAAAAAGAACTAGAGCCAGCTGCTTGTGCAGAGTGGTCTTGTCTTTGTATGTGGACTTCCACAGATGAATATTTCATTCCATCTTGCCATCTCTTTCCGCTCTTTGATTCTTTTGTTTCTCTCCTGGCTAAATGATGGCTGAAAGTCCATGCTGGAACTTTGCACCATAATTCATATATGAGTTGGTGTTTTGGGATCGTTCCTTGTGCAGCTTTCGCCATAGCAGAAGAGAGGATAGGAGTAAGAGTACTCAAAGCAATTATAAGTTACCAGTATCTCTGCCATAGATTCCAATACGTTAAAAATGCTTTTGAACTCACATACCGTAAATGTAATTGCAATTAAACTGGATGCTTGTCAAAAGGCGGCGATTGGTTTATTGGACGGCGGTAGAATGGAATCTCATATTCTGTTTGACCAAAATTGCCATTCCTCGCCAATGTGCATGCAATTCCAGTGTAATTTAATTGTAGACTTATTTCCATTCTTCATAAATATACCCAAATCTTAGGGGTGTTTATTGGTTTGCTAAGTTTGTTTTTTTAATACCAAACCGAAAATGAACCAAATTCAAATTTTGATTCGCTGAATCGAATTCGAAATTTGACTCATCAAACTGAATGGAACTCATGGTTTGGTTTTTGGATCTAGTTCGTTTTTGATTCAAATAAACAGAATTTTGTATCTGGCCAATTGGTTCAAAAAGCCAAAATCAATATTTGCACAACTTTCTCTTTCGTCCCCTACTTGTTTTCCTTCTCTCTACAAATTCGATGAAATTTAATTGATAATATATTTTAGTAAAATCTTTTCGTTGCTATTTAGAAAGTAGAATTCATTTTCCTGTCTTGTGTTAGTTTATAATCTCTTTTTTTGTAATGGAGCTTAAAACATGTTCAAACAAAACCAAACAAACTCACCATGTGCCCTACCAAGGTGGGCTTGGGGCCCTGGGGAGGGTGACGTGTTCACTGACTTGACCTCCATCCAAATAGTAGAGCGACTGTTTTCATCAAAGCCCCCGCCTGGTGCATAGTGCGGTAAAAAAGAGGTACAAAATAAAATTGTGGGAGAAGAACATAAGAAAAACCTTTGAAAAAAGAAGTTGAAAACAATAAAGGCATTGCTAAATTTTGAAAAAATGAGTTAGAAATGAGCAACCAAAAATCAAGCAAACAAACAACACATACGAGTGGAAGCGGGTACATGAAAAATGTAAGCACAGTAGGAAACCCACCCCAAGTCTAACCTAGGATTCATGGGGTCTAACTACCACAATCTAACCCTACCATCATCCTCTACCTCTCTAGATCCCTTCCTCCCGTCTAGGTGAGCCCATCCCTAGTTTGCTACCCTCATCCTTGGAAATACTTAAAGTCCTCATGTCTATCCTCAACTGCTCATCAGTCCTCCTTAATCTACCCATCACTCCCTAGACCCTCACACTTTTTACCCTCTGCACTGGAGCCGTTCTCTATCTCCCATTATTGTGGCCAAACCACCACAATCTTCCCTCTCAAACTATTTGTGATGAACACAACTTCTTAACATTACCCGATAGGCCTTGTTTGGAATCTTGTCAGACATGGACCGCCCATAAGTCCATCTAAGCATCCTCATTTCTGCAACCTCCGCCTCCACTCATAGGCCTTCCTTGCCACTCAACATTCCGACCCATACAATATAGATGGTATGATGGGTATTCGGTAAAATTTTGCCTACATTTTTAGGGGTCCTTATCACACAACACCCCCATGGCAACCTTCCAATTTTAGTCACTTGGTCCTTATGTTATGTGGTATGTCATCCTCGGCTTCACCCCACTTATGGATTATGGTGCTTAGACACTTGAAACTATCATTTTAGGGTACCCTTTGCCCCTCAATATTAACTTCCACCCCCTTGTCGATACTCTCCCCATTGAAATTGTACCATAAGTATTCGGTCTTAGAACGACTAATGTGTATGCCTTGTGATTTCAAAGCACCCCTCCACTATCTGATTATTTAGGGTGCGTTTGGTACCCAGACAATATAGGACAGAGCAGGGCAGGACAGTGCAATTGTTCAACATTTCGTACGCCAGGACATGACAGAACAATCCTCTTGAAAGAGAGGGGTGCCTTCGGGAACGCGAACAATCAAATGATTCTGTTGATACTTTCGAGTGATTAAACGTTTCACAATTAGTAAGCTACCGTCATTGCTTCTTCTTCGGGAAAAGAAGTTCACGACCCGTGGGCCTTCTACCATGGATTCTGGCAATGCAATGTAGTGGGACTCTAATGTTGATCCGACTGTTTTATCAATTATGTTCCATTTGTATCTCTTAAAAATGCCAATTTAAGTTGAGTATAAATTTTTATTTAACCTATCTCATACATTCCTGTCAGATTCTATGTTTACCTATGGATCCCTACGTCGTTACATTCCATTTAGGATTAGGAATAGGCGTAATTACCTTTTGGGAGGCCTATGCCCCATAGAAACTGTCTACCTGAGATTGTCCCTTGGCCCGTACGTCCTGACTGACAGCGGACAACTAATGCGTTCCACTTATTGAACAGGGTTCTATGGTCGGTCCGTGACCTCTGACCATGATTGGCGCCGGTATGAACCCGTCTTAACTCTCCTCAGGAGGATAGATGTGGCGATTCAGGTGAGATTGAAAACCTGTGTTTTTGGTAAACAGTCGCCCGGACCTGGTCACTGCAACCCTGCGTCTTGAGATCCTAATTGCCATGGTTCCGCTGCATCACAAGGAGCAATTGTGAGAAATAGCTTTCCCATTATTTTCATATCCGTAATAGTGCGAAAACGAAAAGAAGGCCTGGCCCCAAGTTGTTCTACGAGAATTTTTATGAAAGCCTTTCAGTTGCTTCTCTTTGATGGAAGTTTGATTTTCCCAATTGTAGTAAAACCTGACCTGTTGACCCTTTTGCCTTTCTGGCGTACCCATTCAGTGACTTTGGCACTGGACGTTCCCCAAACGGGTACTGTCGGGTCGTAAAGTGACCAATTTATCCTTAATGAGTTTAGTGTTTTTTTTACCAAATAATCACTCTAAATGAAAATTAACAAATAATACAAATACAAAAAACATCCAAAATAAGTATATTATTCTCTTTAATTCTCTCAAATTTCCATTTATTACTTTATATATTTTCTATATTTTGATTAATTTATGTAATTTATTAAATATTATAATAAAAATAAATATTTTTTATAACAAAATATATCATTAGAAAGTTTTCGTCAATACGATTAGATGACACCAAAATATGAAGTTTATGGAATTTCCCAATTTTATGTTATACCTTTTCTATACTATGTTTTGATTATTAATATTCAATAGATTACGTAAATTAACCAAAATATATGTATAAAGGTAAGGAATTTTGAGGATAGTAAAGTGAAAGTTTAAAGATAAGAAAATACAATAAATAAAATTTAAAGAATGGATATAGAATTTAAAGGGAGGGGGGAGGTGTGCTATTTGATGTTTTAGAAGGGAGTTAGGTTTTATTTTGAGAGTATATTGATAAAATATAGGCTTGTTCCATGGGGTGGGGTTGGAACATGCATAGTTCTACTCCGTTCTTGTTTGTTCCACATAAAAGTCATGCCAAATATGGAATAGTGATCCCTGTTCTATTATGTCCTTTTCATAGCCCAAATGCACCCTTATGCCTTTGACTCAACTACTAGCACAATGCCGTCCCCAAATAGCAAATACCTTGGGACACACCCTTGGATCCCTCTGAAATCTCATCCAAAATCACCGGAAAATAGGAATGGGCTTGGTACTGATCCTTGGTGAAACCTTATCTCCTTTGGGAAACATTCCATTTCACCCACCGGGTCCTAACACACGTCATCGATTGTCTGTACCCGCCTTGGACCCCCCTCCTCTATTTTCCAAACTCCTCCGAATCACGTCTTGTGGAACTTTACCATATGCCTTCTCCAGACCTATGAACACCATATGTAAATCCCTGCTTCATATGCACATGTGTGAATAATGGGTAATTTCTTTGACAGGTATTAGACTATCATTTTTTACCTTCTATTTTCAAATAAGCAATATCCATAAACCAAACATCAAATTACTAAAAAGTTAAATAAAGGAATCTGGACAATTACCAGTTCTTACATTCCATTTCCAAATATGTACTCACGAACCAAACATAAAATCACAAAGGAATGAATTGCAATTCCATTACATTCCAATTCCCTCTACACTGATTCCCTTTGACATTCCATTCCTTAAAAAAAAATCTTGAACCAAACGCTACCTCAGCATTGTTAGATGGCTGGAGTTCCAAAACTGTATGTTAGGTACTGTTCGGTAGTGACTTAATGGGCTTAACAGACAACAACCTTCGTCTGTCTCCCTTCCTATCCACATCTCTCCTCGAGCACCACCAACAACCCCTCCCAGAAACTGGAGATTGCTCTCTCTCTCTCTCTCTTTCTCTCGTCTTTCATCTCCATTCCCATCCCAAACATGTTTTATTCCCATTCTCTTTCTAGTCATAATGAAGAAAAACAAAACCGAAATGAAACCCAACAAGGATTCATTGATGAAAGGTGATGATATTTTCCCATATAATAATGCTGATCCAACAAGGATTTATCGATTAAGGCTTCGATGACTCAGAAACAAAGGGTAAGGGGTAAATTGGTCATTTCTGTCGTTTCAGCACAAAAACCAAACAATATTTTAACTTAGGAGGTACAGGAGTAAAGCTTGGCTATTTTCCCTTGCCATTTGCGAAGGGTAAAGCTTGGATATTTCTCCTGTGACAGGAGTAAGCTTTGAGGCTCTACTCTATATGGAAACTCTACAGAGGGTGATTAAATAATAATGTGAAGTATTTATCTGTTTTTGAATAACTAAAAAAGGGTAATTTGTTTTTGTTGCAAAAATAGGACAATCATGGCTCTGTGGAGGGCTAGAGCCTTAAGCCCTGAACAGAAGGCACAAATTGCTGATGAAGAATCAGATGATAAGAGCCTGCAGATGCTTGAGGAAGAATCCACATCCATCAAAAGCGATGATGACTCTGAAAACAAAAGCCTCCAGAGTGAAGAGAGCGGATCCTTCCTAGGCCTAGAGGATGTCAGCTTGTCTATTGTTTACTCCTCTGCTCTTTCAGTTCCTGTGAGTTAATCTTGATCTCTTGAGCGTATATGGAGTATTTTAGGAAAACATATCTGCATATCTGATGTGGGTTTTATTTCAATCAGTTGAATTTCGTGATGGAGTTGTTCAGTGGGAGTGAATTGGAGCGCAGAGCAATGGAAAGAGCTCATTGTGTGAATTATTCAACGAGTCCTTGGGAGTTTGAAAAGGCTGATGTTTATCAGAGACAGACTTATTACAAGTTTGACATAAGTGTTTCTCGTTATGGAGGAGAGGTGACGACAAGTCAGCAAAAATCTCGTCTTACCGATAGAAATGGTTGGCTTGTAGAAGAGGTGACAACGCTGCATGGGGTCCCCCTTGGTGACTATTTCACTGTACGCATCCCTCCATGGCTTAATTATTTGTAAAATGAATGTTTAACGTAATGGATGTTTGGATTACTGTGCAGCTTCATACAAAGTACCAAATAGAGGATCAAGCTTCAAGAAGTATGGGATGCAAAGTGGTGGTGTATTTTGGGATTGCATGGTTGAAAAGCACGAAACATAAGAAAAAGATCACAAAGAACATACATATGAATCTGCAAGACCGCATGATGATTATGTTCAGTACAATCGAGAAGGAATTTGTCTCAGGAAAAAAACAGATGATGCAGAGTGAAGCAACTTGAAAGAAGAAGAGATTAAGAGCATTTTTCACTCAAGCATTGAAATGCTGCAACTGGCGAGATGGTATGATGGGAATGGGGATGATGATGATCTTGCAAGTGAATTTTTTTTCCTTTTGTACAGTTGTTGATTGTAATAAGGCAAGCATTTGGAAGGAATCATATTCATATATGCATACAGTACACTTGTGTAGAATGTAGGATTAGGAAGGAAATAGCCTAGACTCAGAATCCATAGGAGGACATACGTTTGTTTGTATACTTTTGAATTCCATCAAATATAGACAGACTTGATCAGTTTTGACTGATGTCCATTATCAGTATCGTTATCATTATAAGAAAAGAAAAAGTTCATGCTTTGGTATGAGATTTATCAATCAAAAGCCTCGACCAAGTTACAAGGCTCTCTAACATGGGAGGACTTATTGATCAAGGTTCATCAACTCTGTGAGAACCAATACTTTGTATGTCAGCAGAAGTTTGTTTTATGTTCCCTTTGCTTTGCACACAAAGTACAAGTTGGTATCACAAGTGTCTGGTCTATGCCAAAATAGAATAAGCATAGGCAAGAGATAGGTCCAAGTTCATGGACTGCAATTTGTGGCTTTATACATAGAGAAGGCAAATCAACCCCCCCCCCCCCCCTCTTCTAAAGACTTTGTGTTGCAAGAATCTTCTTTATAGTCTTATTGTTAAGTTTTTTCTAACCAAATTTGTTTATTTGATTTTATATCAATACAAGAATAAAATTGAAAAAGTTTTATGTTTTTGTATTCAATCTTCGATCCTGTTCCAATTTTTTTAAAGTCAAATTCATTTGATAGATTTCATTCTGCCCTCTTAATTTAGGTTTATGTTGTAATATATTTGGTATAAAAAAGAAAATTTATAGAAAACAAAAGGTACATATTTGATCTCTAAAATATAAAAAGGAAAAGTAATAAATAAGATTTATATAACTTAGTTATTTATAAAAATAAATAAGAAAATAATCATCATATATTAATTATAACATAAACTAGTTGTTTACCCGCACAATGCGACGGGTTGCAAAATTTAACTATAGGAGACAAAAAAATTCTTTTTGCATGAATACGATATCCCGATAAAAATTCAAATACTTTTGATAGCAATCTCATTCCATATAGAATATTACGAATGAAAAAAGCTTAAAAAACAAATGCAGGAAATAAACCATGTCTTCTAGAAATTACATAATGTCATTCATCTTTCTCGTAATCTAACCGGAGTCAAGGATCGAATCCAAGGAGGAATAAAATTCACTTATGACCACGGAGGTTCAATTGTGGTGACTCCGGACTATCCGAGAAGCGGGTGGTTACCCTGGATTAGTCGGCTCACATAATGAGTTTGATATCCAGTTTAGTGAAAGAAAAAAAAAACTCTTTAATCTTTCATCAGCCTCGCACTTCTTGATATTCGGGGAATACTTTTCTATTAAGCAAACTTTAATAAAATAATCATTTGACTAAGAGGCTGTTTACCAAATACTCATACGGGTAAGCGTTTACCAAGTCGTATTACCTCATCCAATGAATATGGAAAGGACCAAAAATCTTACTCGGTAAGTGCGAAAGCAAGGACCGAAAATCTTACCTAGCAAGTGAGGGCGACGACACTTACCACGGTTGTGCATAGGATACTGATAAGTTAGTGATAGCGTTGAATTTTATGGTAAGTGTTTATCCAGGTAAGCATTTGGTAAACCGCCTCTAAATATTTTCCGTACTAAACATTTTTCACACAAACCATACAAATCAACCAATTAGATCAGACAAAGACTTAAATAATTTGACAAAATTTGTTCAATGCAAATGTTGAAAGGTAAAAGATATCTCAATTAAACAACTTGCATAGATAAAAGATAAAATAAGTTCAATTGTCAATGATTATAAATGCAATTTTATTTTTATGAACTTGTTTAGTTATCAGTTTTATGCATTATCTTGCTCGGCATTTGTCTTCAATTTGAACATGTTTTATCTATAGGTTACGAGTTTATTTTATAAATTTCAAACCTTTTCTTAAGAGATAAATGTTAAACGTATTAAAATAATAATATAAAAATATACTCGCTTGCAAATATATTCGAGATTAAAATTTTCCAAACCTAATTAAAAAAACCGAAAATATATAACTTTAATTGAAGTAGACACAATCCAATCCTCATTGGAAAGAAAATAAACAACTATATTGTTCATGAACCAAACAAACACTTTATATGCTCTTCACATGTAGCAGGTTTTTCAAGGAAAAATTAGAATTACATGATTTGCTGCTATCTTACCATAAATGAGGTATGTAATCCACAAGCATAACAAAAAACACTCACCCAAGCTCTTCATCTGAATCAAAAAATTGTTCTAATTCTAATGCTATTATCATATGTTGGTCCCAAAGGGTCTACAAGAATACTAAACAGTTTGTAGAAGGGGGGATGAATACAAACACAATTTTCAAATTTAAAATATATATTGATAGAGAAGATCAATACAGATTTTACAAGATTGTTTGCGGAAAGATAAGGT